GACAAGTGCAGTGACAGGAGGGGAGGGAGAGAGACAAGTGCAGTGACAGGAGGGGAGGGAGAGAGACAAGTGCAGTGACAGGAGGGGAGGGAGAGAGACAAGTGCAGTGACTGGAGGGGAGGGAGAGAGACAAGTGCAGTGACTGGAAGGGGGAGGGGGGGAGCGCACTGACTGATGGAGAGAGGAGTGCACTGACTGGGGGAGGGGGGGAGTGGAAATTAAGTGCACTAACTGACGGAGAGATAAGTGCATCGACGGGGGGTCGGGGTAGGAGGCGATGCATGTGATGGGGTGGGGGAAAAGGAGAGAGGGGGGAGGGGGGCTTTTCTATCGTTTTGGCTTTCTAATGGAGATACATTGTACTGTACCAGTTTTCTTCCCACTCAAAGATCACGACCTTCCTCCACTTCATCCAACGTTCAATTGCTCAAACATAGATATCGATATATATATATATATATATCATGTATGTAGACCATTCTATGGTGGTGCTCACTGTCTGCATATTTCACAGAGATAACATACTATGTCATGTATACGTAACACGGCGCGGTGAAATCAGGCGCTCGTCAATTTTTGGTTTGTTTGTGGAGTAAAGAGAAGCACATCTTCACAATAACGGCCATTTAGAGCTGGGGAAAGTAAGACAAACAGACAGAAACAACAGAGGGGAAAGTAAAGAAGTAGGACCTACCAGTGACACCCTCCAACTACCCACACAGACAGAAACAACAGAGGGGAAAGTAAAGAAGTAGGACCTACCAGTGGCACCCTCCAACCACCCACACAGACAGACAGAAACAACAGAGGGAAAGTAAAGAAGTAGGACCTACCAGTGGCACCCTCCAACCACCCACACAGACAGACAGAAACAACAGAGGGAAAGTAAAGAAGTAGGACCTACCAGTGGCACCCTCCAACCACCCATACAGACAGACAGAAACAACAGACGGGAAAGTAAAGAAGTAGGACCTACCACTGATACCCTCCAACCACCCACACAGACAGACAGAAACAACAGAGGGAAAGTAAAGAAGTAGGACCTACCAGTGGCACCCTCCAACTACCCATACAGACAGACAGAAACAACAGACGGGAAAGTAAAGAAGTAGGACCTACCAGTGACACCCTCCAACTACCCACACAGACAGAAACAACAGAGGGGAAAGTAAAGAAGTAGGACCTACCAGTGACACCCTCCAACTACCCACACAGACAGAAACAACAGAGGGGAAAGTAAAGAAGTAGGACCCACCAGTGGCACCCTCCAACCACCCACACAGACAGACAGAAACAACAGAGGGAAAGTAAAGAAGTAGGACCTACCAGTGGCACCCTCCAACCACCCATACAGACAGACAGAAACAACAGACGGGAAAGTAAAGAAGTAGGACCTACCACTGATACCCTCCAACCACCCACACAGACAGACAGAAACAACAGAGCGAAAGTAAAGAAGTAAGACCTACCAGCGGCACCCTCCAACCACTCGCTCAATGTTTGAACATGTGGAGTCATTGGTTTCATCATAAAGCTTGTTCATTTGTGTACGCTTCAGTGCAAGAACATCCACCTATTTTGAATGGAAGTCGAGATATATTTCCAACGGAAGGAGAGGGGGGTGGCCTGGTTTCAGAGGTTAAATTAGCGAGAAATGGCTGCCAAAGTTTAATGACTACAAAGATTTGGGAGTTCTTGAAAATTACAAACTTACATCTTTTGTGCCTTTGATCTAGGTTTTTTCAGTTTAACCCACACGTAAATGGGTTGAAAACGCACGTTA